TGGCTAGAAAACTTTGGTTCTTTAATCCGACGCCCCTTCCTATAACTCTGAATACCAGATCCAATACTACCACGAGTAACCCAGTTAAGGTATTAGATATGCTGGATTCTTCATGCCCTAGGTGCAGACATTACAGAAGAGGAGGTTCTCCTTGCGATACAAAGTCTCAAAACTGGTAAAAGAGCAGGCCTAGATAGTTTCTCTGCGATCTTTTATTAAAAAAATGTCAGATCTGTTGGTCCCCCATCTTACCCATCTGTATTTAATTCACTCAAGTCCAACGGAGTGCTGGATCAGTACCAGGGGTGTCCCGAGGCCTGGTGCGGAGCGGAGATCGGGAGCCACCCCGCCGGGACCTCATTGCGCATGCGTGTTCGTCTAATAGACTCTGCCTGCCGGCGGCCATCTTGGTGATGGACGTCGGCAGAGAGAGGAGGGCTATTCACCCGTCGGTATGAGGTATGCTGCCGTCCCCTACTCTCTCCTGACACTGTCAGGCTCTTGGTGCCCTACTTTTTAGAGGGGGGGTCACACCAAAATCACTGTCATTTCGGTGTCACCCCTCCAATGATGTCACTTCACATCATTAGCTTTCGGCTAATGTAGTGATGCTCTCACAGCCTAACAAGGATCCCCGGATATGGTACGCTACTGTGTAATCCCGAGTGTGGCTCGGGGTTACCGCTTATGGTACTGAAAATTAACCCCGAGCCACAATACCACCAGGAAGGTTAACGAAGATCTCTAAATGGTGTGACCACCAGGGTTTGAGCAAGGGCACAACCTTGTGTGTAAACTTCAAAATAGAATCTATGGAATCAAGTAAACTGCAACAATGTGGAATGAGAAAGTGAATTAAGTACTCATGAAAGAGGGATGCACAAGAAGCAAAGCAGATCCCTGTCATTATTCCTGGAACAAGAAGGGGACTATAGTCAAATAGTTCACAAACTGTAAAACAAAACTTTGAAATTAAAGAGCTAAGAAACATCAGTCACTATCTGGGAATTCAAATAGAAGAGAGAAGATGATGAAAGCTATCTTCTCAACCAAATGCAGAAAATTGCAGACATTTTGGAACAATTTCCAATGCACGATGCAAAAGAAGTAAAAACAACTATGGAACCAGGCTTCCAAAAGAGCAGTAAAGCAGAAAACTTGCTACCCAACAATGACATATACCACAGAGCAATCGAAACCTAATATACATTGCTATTGTGACAAGACCAGACATCGCGGCAGCAGTGGGCATACTCACTAAAAAAAGTCGCAGCACCCTGTCAGCGTGACTGGAACGCAATAAAGACGGTAATACAATATGAAGCTGCGACTGCCAGCCGAGTCAAATCCAGAACTAGTTGGATTTGCGGATGCTGATTGGACCATAGACTCCACAGACCGCAAATCCACAAGTGGTTACATCTTCCAATATGGGTAAGGAACCATAAGTTGGTCTAGCTCAAAGCAAACAACGGTTGCACTTTGCTCAACTGAAGCTGAATACATAGCAGCAGCACACGCTTGTCAAGAAGCAATATGGAGTTGCCAGCTTTTAATGGACATGGGTATAGACATGTCAAACCCCATCCCGATCTTTGAAGACAACCAGGGATTTATTAAGCTCACACAATCCGAAAGGGTCAACCCTAGAACCAAGCACTTTGACGTGAATTATCATCTGCTAAGGGACACTGAAGAGCAAGCTATTATCAACATGCAATATTGCTCATCAGAAGAAATGACTGCGGACGGTCTCATCAAGCCATTGACAAAGTATTGTCACAGTTTCCTTCGAGAGAAGCTGAATGTCAAATAGCAATGCATATGCTGTTGAGAAGGGGTGTTGGAAATACAAGAACATATGCCAATATGCACTGTATTACTGACATTCATATGCAGTGTTACATCTTTTGGGCTGTAGATGGTGCTGTAGTGCAAGTCTAGTCTATTTTTTTTTTTTAGTTTTCTTTTGTTCAATAAAACAAAAGCGATATACAGGAACAGGATAAGAAGATTAGCTGACGCAGCAGCCATACACAATCCAGTAGAACAAAGTCATCAACCAACTTACAGTAAAACAGACTGAACAGCCAAGTCAGCCCTTGAGAGAGTAAAACGGAAGGTAGTGACAGATCAAGGTGCCCCTACAACCATGCCAGGCTCCTTGTTCAATCTATATCTAGTAAGGCAATAAAAAAAACACGGAAATGGCTTTGAGGGGACAAAATTACAATCCTGCAAATAACAATTCCCTGACCTGTGGGAGACCAATTCCGACAGTCAGGGGCAATACATATTTTAGATCAGCTTGGGGAGGGGGTAGGGAGTAAGAAGAAAGGAAAAGAAAAAAAATTAGAAAGAAAAGAAGAAGCGGAAAAGAAGAAGAATAGAAGAACAGGGTCCTGAAAGAAGAAATAGCCAAATGAAAGAATAGATAAGAAATTCAGATCTCATTGGTATGAGTTTAAAGAGCAGCAAGATCTCACAGACAAATGATCAGCCCCACTGGGCTGTGAAACAAAAGGGGTTCAGGTCGAGTGGGCCTTGTTTGGACAAAATTAACCATTTAAGAAATTATCAAGCTGTCAAAGACTGAATGGTTCCCACTGATCAACGTCATTAAAGAGGCAAAGCCCAACCCCTGAAAAACAAGCCCACACCATAATCCTCCCTCAAAAAAGCTTTACACTTGGCATAATGCAGTCAGACAAGTACCGTTCTTCTGGCAACCGCCAAACCTAGACATGTCCATCGGATTGCCAGATAGAGAAGCGCAATTCGTCACTCCAGAGAACACATCTCCACTTCTCTAGAGTCCAGTGGCGGCGTGCTTTACACCACTGCATCCGGCGCTTTGCATTGCACTTGGTGAAGTAAGGCTTGGATGCAGCTGCTTGGCCATGGAAACCCATTCCATGAAGCTCTCTATGCACTGTTGTTGTGCCAATCTGAAGGCCACACAAAGTTTGGAGGTCCGTAGCTATTAAGACAGTTGCCGACTTCTGCGCACTGTGCGCTTCAGCGTTCCCAGTTGCTTCCACTTTGTTATAATACCACTAACAGTTGACCGTGGAATATTTAGAGGTGATTGGTACACCTGAATCCAACGATTTGGAGGTGTGTCCCAATACTTTTGGCAATATAGTATGTGTATACAGGTGAAACTCGAATAATTAGAATATCGTGCAAAGTTAATTTATTTCACTAATGCAACTTAAAAGGTGAAACTAATATATGAGATAGACTCATTACATGCAAAGCAAGATAATTCAAGCCGTGATTTGTCATAATTGTGATGATTATGGCTTACAGCTCATGAAAACCCCAAGAACCCCAAATCCACAACCTCAAAAAAGTAGATTATTACATGCAATCAATAAAACAAGGATTGTACATAGAACAATATCGGACCTCTGAAAAGTACAAGCATGCATATGTACTCAGTACTTGGTTTGGGCCCCTTTTGCAGAACTTACTGCAATTACTTTTGCACGATATTCTAATTATTCGAGTTTCACCTGTATATCTCTCTATCTATATCTATAGATATAGATAGATAGATATCTATATTTATATAGATATCTATCTATATATCTATAGATATATATTATATATACACTAGGGCTGGTACTGATTAAAATTTTCGTGTTCGATTAATCAAATTATTTTTAAATCGCTTAATCGATTAATTATAACGCACATACAGATCCAACTACATTGGCCTATACACATACAGCACAGCAATGAAGTAATACAATGAACTAGGATCACACTAATCCAGCACGTTATTAATCTAACGTGCCCCACTCAATATGGCCACCGCTTGAGTGGGGCAACTCAGAATAATAACGTGCTGGATTAGTGTGATCCTGGTTCATTTCATTACTTCATTGCTATGCTGTATGTGTATAGGCCAATGCCTTGGAGTTTGGTCCAAACTTGTGGGCACACTGACCAGCTGGGAAGATTGTAAAAGAAAGGTTCGATGTCAATTGGCAGGCTGCACAGTGATGTTCCCTTTACAAGTAAAATAATTTTTTCTTGAGGGCACAGTCACATTGATGTGTTATGGCAACGTGCAATTTACCACTTGGTGCAAAATTACAATAATCTGCCTTAAAACTGCTTTAACGCATGATAATGCTTTGCATGACCGGGCCACATAATGTGAATGGGCCCTAAAGGCTACCATTGCTGATCTCCCCTCCTTAAAAAAAAAACACTAGTTGCTTGGTTATGCGTACTCCTCGATTCCTGATTTCACCTTTAGTGAAGTTGTCCATTAATAAAATTCCCCCAGCTCTCTGAGTGCAGTCCACCAGGGATAAAACCTTCCTCCAGCAAGTTACTTGGGCAAACTCACTGGCCCAAGTGGCTCCGCCGGCTAACGAAGGGGGGAGGAGTCAGGTGACGTCCCGGATATCGACGTCACCGGACTCCTCCCACTTCCCTTCGTTAGCCGTCACGGACATCGACTTCACAGGACTCCTCTCCCCTTCCCTTCGTTAGCCGACGGAGCCACTTGGGGAAGGGGGAAGGAGTCTGGTGACGTCGATGTCCGTGACGTCACTGGATCTCCGACGGGACTCCCGGAAGCCGGCGGAGAGGTGAGTGTTTTCATTTTTGATCGATCAAAATAATTTTAATCGATCAAAAAGTTTGACGAATAATCAAGAAATTAATCGTTAATTTCCGCAGCCCTAATATACATACACACACACAGTACATGGAGGATAATACCAATATTTAGGCTCATAGCTAAATTGTGAAAATGGCTCTGGAGTTTACTAGGTTAACAAGCTACCAAGTAGACCAGGGACACTCATAATGACTGAGGAAGGTGTACACAATGATCTTGCCACTTTGAAGTCTTCAAAAGATGTAAGAAATTGTTAAATTTGCAGCAACTATTAAAAGCTGTTATATGATTTTGCCAAAGAAAAAGACAGAAAACTAGAAACAGTTCATGTGCCATAAACTTTTCATAAGTTTACACTCACCTGGGAAGTATTCTGTCAGGAAGCTTGTGGGCTGCAATGGCAACAGGCAGTTTTTGCATTTGTCTTGCATAATCAAACAAGCCAGGGAGATTGTGTGAATACAACTGGGAAGCTTTACCTGCAAGTAACACAGAAATGGTACAAGTTTTATTATGAAATATTCATTGAGCAATTCACTCAAATTAGTAAAAAATATTTTGGGCAACAATAACCACTTGAAGACCGGCGTGTTAAACTCCCTTCCTGTCCAGGCCATTTTTGAGTATTCAGCGCTGAGGTACTTTGACTGACATTTATTCTGTCATGCAGCACTATACTGAAATACTGTAAATTCTATATCATTTTTTAGGGACAGATACAGTTTTCTTTTGGTGCTATTTAATCAGCACTGGGTTTTTTTTTTTTTACTATACAATGAAAAAAGTACAGAAAACTTTTCCCTACATTATGTTATCAAACATTTATTACTCCCTAAATGTTTGGAAAATATAAAAGATGGGGTGACGTCAGGCAAATAGACACCAAACATGTCCCGCTTTAAAACTGCACTCGTCCACAGAATCGCAAAAAACTACCATACCTAAAATAGGCCATAGGCAATGCTTTAAAAGCTTTTCCCGGTCATCTGTTTAGTGTCATCAGTGATTAATGGTCCTAAAATTATTGCTTGCCCTCCGACGTCCTCGGTGATGTGTAACGTGTGGCATAATCGTTTTCGCATTTAGGCGCACCCGACGCGTATATATATATATTTTTTAAAAACTTTTTTTTACACTTAACTTTATTGCTTTCACATACGGGGCTAAGAAGATCCCTATTTGATAGCAAATATACAATGGAAGACCTCTCTAAGACCCCTGTCACCTAGGGACTCCCAAAGATGATGAAGCAGAGATCTGCAGCCAGAGAAATGACAGCTGAAGGGGCGAGACTGACTATACGGGCGGTCGGGCACTGCCCGAGGGCCCGTGGTCAGGAGGGGGCCCGTCACCGACCCCCAATGCCCCTATGTATCAGTTCCCGGGGCACACTCCAGATTCTCACCTGGGGTGCTCCGTGCCGGCCTCCGGTGCCTCCCCGGTCTCCACTGCACGTTAAATGTTTAAAGAGGGCCACCGCTACTCGCGGCAAGTGCCCGGATCACATTTAATATATTGCCGAATTGACAATATATTAAATGAAAAACATGACTTGGTGGTCCAGTGGGGAATCAGTATGATCTGCATCTCTTGCTGATGCAGACCATACTGATCGCTCCCTCGTAGTGCCACAGCTGACTGGCAGGGAGCGATTAATTTTTTTTAAGGTCCCCCGCCCCTCACGTCCATGTACATACAATGCAAACACGCGTCGGATGCGCCTACATGCAAAAACAAAAATTGCGCCACACATGTTACATATCAATTACTGTTAGCACTAAACTGTTGAGCCGTAAAAGCATTGAAAGCGTCGCCTATGGAAAATTTTGGTTATTGTAGTTTTTTGCGGTTTCACGGACGCACGCTATTTTAAGGCTTGACATGTTTGGCGTGACCCCGTCTTTCATATTTTACATTTGTGCAAATACCGTGCAACATAAAAAATTGCAACTAGCATCTTTTTATTCTACAGAGCCTCTGCTTTCCGAAAAAAATATTGTTTGGAGGTCTGAAGCTGTTTTCTAGCCAAAAATGCAGATTTTATCATGTGTGTGCAAATGTAAGAAATTACAGCAAGTGATTAATGAGCCTGTGTTTTAATGCGTGTATAAATATTTGAATATGTGTGTTTCCCTATTTTCCGGAGACAGTGATGCTGAACATTTTTTAAACCCCAGTGCCCAAACTGCAACGCAATACTAAAGTTATTTTCAATGTTGGCACTTTGAGATAAATACATTGATTTTGTGTCGCAGTTTGGGCACTCGGGTTCAAAAACGTTCGCCATCACTATCACTATCCTAGTCTGACACACTAGTCTAGTGTGGTTTGTAATAGACATGTGCAGGGCAAATTTGGTTTAGATGAAACAAATGAAAACCATTTTTATTTGTTTCGTCAAAGGAAACAAATTTTAATGCGGTTTTGGATTCAGAGGCAATGAGCCTCCGAATCCGAAACCGCACAAAGAAATTGCAGATTCAGCGACGGCCATATCGGCTGCCAGCGTGTTCTGCGCATGCGTGCCGCCATTTTGGAGTATATCTTGGTATGAACCTGAACATGTGGGCACTGCCATCTTGGTGTATACCAAGACATACTCCAAAATGGCGTTGCGCATGCACAGAACACGGCGGCCGATATGGGCACTGCACGTTTATGCAGGCGGGGCTTGTATATGGGTGGGGCCCCATAATCTTGTATTGCGGGGGGGGCCCCATGTGTTGTCAGTCCGCCCCTGTGTAATCCACATCCACCATCAAAGATCGGAGGAGAGATCAGCAAGCAGGAGAATGCTGATCTCTCCTCCATTTTACAGGATAAACAGGAGCTGTGCCGGACCCAAGCATGCACGGGGGACAGCGAAGCCCGGGATAACCGGCAGTGGAGGGGGCACACGCTGTTTGGCACTTTTGCGGGATTCTGTTCGGGGGCTCACGTGAGCAGAAAAAAAGAAGATGTACAGGTATGTCCACCCGCTGGAAGGAGCTTGACGTCCATCCATTTATATACAATGGGTAGACAACAAGTAGTTAAATGTATAAGTCAAATTAGTGGACATTTTCCCAGTGAAAATGACATTCCCTATACTTTTGCAACATCTGTTCTTCAATATGAGAAGGTCTTTACTGTAACAGTTACCCTTTTTTTATCTGAATAAAGAGTGAATGTTACTTTTCCTGCACATTTACCTGACTTTTCCTCATCTTGTCTGAAAATAAAATGCACATGGCTGAACTGTCGAATCATTGCCTT